AAGACAACCTAATCTGAGGTTCCGATTTAGGTTATGAGAACCGGTGACCCCGAGTTGTTATGCAGGGGTGTGTATCCAAGTTAAGGTTGCGTTTTTGATACATTTATAATGAGTGTTTTATTAAAATATCAAGAATATTATTTATGTAAGACAACCCTAAAAATGATTTACATGCTGCATAAATTATCTTCTTGATATTTACATAAATACTCACCATTATTGCATCAAAAACGTAACCCTAACTGCATCAAAAAAGTAGGTTTTAACGTTCCCCCTAAAATGGTAATAAAAACATAAAAACGCGATTCTTACGATCATTCAAAACACGCTTGTGGTTCTACCATTCTACTTGGAACATCTTTTACAATGGTTAATACATGTAGGTGTTGAGATTCGTACTTGTATTTGTTGTATTTGGAACAATACCCTTTTTTCAGTTTTGTAAGAAGGTCGAACCTTGTGATTCGTACTTGTATTTGAAAAATACCCTTCTTTCATTCTTGTAAAAAGGTCGACTTGTATCTTCATAAGTATTATATTTTTGAAGATACCTCTCTTTACCTACTCTCATTGTCTATAATATAGTTGATATGACGTATATGATTGTTCGGTGATCATATATGTTGCGACCATTAATACCGTTTACGTTTGTTCACGTGGTTAAAGAAAGGGAAAACGGGTAAGTAAACTGCAATTTTTAAAAATATTGTTCTTTATTACGTTTATTTTTAACTATAGATTTATTTATTTTTTTTTTTTACATTTGTAGATTTGGATTCGTACACTGTAAGGATCAAAATGAAGCCGGAATATTTTTTTATGGAATGACTCAAAGATTGACCCGTCCATTGACAAGCCCAAACGGCGGAAATATTAGTTTCAAAGAAGCCTTTTTTTTTAATTCAAAAAGAGAGGTTCCATATGTACGTTTTTTTTTTAACAAAAAAAAAAAAATAATAAATTAAACGAAAAAAAAAAAACATTAAAAAAAAAAAAAAAAAAATTGTAGATAAAACCACAAGAAGCAACGCAAGAAGCAACGCAAGAAGCAACGCAAGAAGCAGCGCAAGAAGAAGCAACGCAAGAAGAAGCAACGCAAGAATCGGTAATAGGAAACCTTGAGGCAAAGATCAATTCATTACAAATAGAACTGATAAATGAGAAAGTTCAAGCCGAATATTTTAAAATCAAGGTATTATACTGTATATAATTAAAATGGTAGACATATATTATGATTAAACAGTAATTTCAATTATTGCACGGGTCTTATGTAACAACCCGTACTTTTTTCACTCATTTACAGCACGTGTTTAAAAAAATAACTAAATCGGAACACTTTCATATTTTATCAAATATGAAA